GTAGAATTTAATTAAAAGGAAGCAAAGAAGAATCGACCACGTGTTCAATATCGAGGAATATTCTCAGACCCGAAAAATTCCGATCGAACACCGCGAGCACCGAAACTCCTCCTCGAGATTCCTTGGATAACTTTGTCGCCAGTTCACGTTCTTCACCTCCTTTTCAAATTATCCGCTCGAAGAAAACCACTTATACCGTTGAATCCTTTTCGTTGTGTAAGAAAAAGCAAAGAAGAAAGTCAGAGAAAGTTAGAGAAAAAGAGATTTTGCATGTTTGAAGGAATGATAAGAGATTGTGAATTACGGAGCTATCATGCGGTGAACTTTTATTGAAGCATAGAAATCACCGGGATTGATGCACGTACCGCCTGTAAATTTCCCGTTAGCTCTCGAATCTTTCGAAACATGACAAAGGGGATGATCCCTGAAAATCTTGGCCGCCCGTTGGCTTGATAAATCCTGCTTGCGGATGATCGTCACGTCAACGATTCTTTCGCGAGAATAAAGAGAAGCACATAAACGTCGAGAGAGAAAAAAAGAAGTAAGATCTTCTCATAACTGTTGAACGATATTATTTATTTGTTCCTATATGTGCAGTATTAAAAATTTTAAAAAAAAATTTGTGAAATATTTTTAGTATTTCGTTGTTAGAGCAAACGATGATATAACTCTGAGGAAGGAAAAATAACACAGAATCTATCTTAAGAATTCTTTTAAATCTTTCTCCCCCACAGCGTTAATAAATAAGATTATTATAAAATATTTAATCCTTAACAAGTCACATCCCACTGGAAAAAGAGGGAAATCCTAAATCTCTCGTGAAACTTGAAATATTTCAGCGCGAGGAACCTTGAGAAACGTAAAAGTGCTAGATTTTAACTAAAAGGAGAGAAGCACCAGGTCCCAAAGAGTAGCAAGAAGTGGACGATGGCGAAATGGCGATGAACTGGCTAGCTGGAAGATATTCCAGGGGGTTGGAACGAGTCGAAGGTACACACTCGGCCCGAGTGCAATTTCATCCGGCGCCGAAGGAGGCAGCGAGACAGCGTGGAACTTCCTTTATTACGTTAAAAGTTTTTACGAGCGCACCCCATGAGGGCGCTATCGTGCCGTGATGGCCGCGTTTCCGTGACGCCCGATTCAAATTAAAATAGGACCCCGCTGACTTGCAGCAACACCTCTAAAACAGACCAGCAGATTTCCCGCTGAAAATTATTCTGTGTTTCACTCATCTCGAAACCGTCGTTTTTGGTCCCTGTATTTCCATTTTCATGTTATTTAATTTCTATTTTCATTTCTCCTCGTTGT